TAACCTTTTGAAAACTGAAATTATTGTTATTTTTTCTTGTTTTATAAGAATGGACTATTTACAGGCACCTTGTAAACCCCGTAAAATGATTTTGTAACTTTTTGAAAACTGAAATTGTAGTTCAACTTTTTCTTGAAGTGTTATTTTCTTGAAACAGTTTTATATAATAAACAACGCAACAACATATTGTTCTTTATTTATTACCTAACGTTGTCATAGTCATATCTTCAAAGACGGGTGGCGGATATATCCGCAGCTTTTCTACTCATCTGCGGACGGGGAGCGGATATATCCGCATAATTTTTTTTCAAATAAAAACGAGTAAAAAATTATTTGGACAGTATGAAGTGTTCCATTGTGTTTATTTTATGTATATTCGTATAATAAAACACAAAAAAGGAAAATTAATTTTTATTTTTTCCTATGATTTTTGCCCGTCCTATGTCACGATTTCGCCCGTCCGGGAAGGGTTAAGACATTTTTGTTCTTAGGTATTTTTTCATAAAACCAATGGTTAAGGAGATATGAACGGTTAAAGTTTATTTTCCGCCATAAGAAATGCCTTAAGTTTTCCAAGAAGAGTTTGCTATAAAATACAGGGTGTTCCATAAGAAAAAACCAAGTTGTCCACCATATTGGAAAATGGCGGCCATTTAGAAAAATTTGGAAATCACCCCAAAATGCAGAATAAAAAATAAAGGGAAGTCCCCCATAACAAGTTGTTTGTCGGATTTAAAATTAAAAAGTTAGCTATTGGAAAACTTTAGGCTGGACACCCGGTATATGTGGTGGAATAAATTCATAATTCATTCATTCATTCATTCGAATTTTATGTTCCATACGATATAAAAATTGTACAATACTAACCGATACTACCAAAAGAAAAAATAGGCTAAATTATTAATTTGTAGTGTTAAACTACCCTACAAGTGGAAAGATAGAGTCAGCGGGATGCCAGGCTCGAGGTGAAAGTCAGCTCACCAGCCAAGAACGACGTGGCAACGTCGCATCCCCTACCTCCTCAAAGGCCAGTCCTATTCTGTAATCTACTCGACTATAATAGTTGATCAGTTTCTAGATAAAGACATTAGTTTCTCAGAAATAAATCGAGCTATCCAGGCATCAAAAGTAAATAAAGCCGCTGGTTTCGACCGCATACCGTATGAGTTTTAAAAATGTTGACCAATGAGGCTCACGGATATTTTAGATCAATTGTTTAACAAAATTTTACATACAGGAGAGGTTTCAGAAAGTTTTAAGAATTCAATTGTCTATCCACTTCATAAAAAAGGGAATATTGGAGAGGTGTCTAATTATCGAGGTATTTGTTTTATGGATGCTGTGGCTAAGTTGTTTATGGGTGTAATATTAAACCGGTTAGAATTGTGGGCTACAGATAAAAATATTTTGTGTGAGTACCAAGCAGGTTTTCGTAAAGGCTATTCTACGGTAGATAATATTTCTTCTATTTCTAATATGATTAATCTAAGGATCTCAGTCAAAAAAGGCAAATTGTACTGTTTATTTGTAGATTTTCTGCAACCTTTGACCGGATTGACAGAAACTCGTTGTTTTATAAACTTTATACCATTGGAATTTCTTCAAAGATAATAAGATTAAAAGTTGCTATAATGGTACGTCAGCAGGTGTATGTTGTGAGGAATGGGTGTCAGAGTGCTTTGAGACAACAAAAGGCCTGAGGCAAGGATGTTTAAGGAGTCCTTTGTTATTCTCATTGTTTTTAAATGACCTACATGATGTTCTAGGGGGTGGGTGCATCTTTGGAAACTTCAAAGTGAAAGTTCTGTTAAACGCGGATGATATTTTTTTGGTGTCACCATCAGCGGCGGGTTTACAATTAATGATAAATGATCTTCAAAAATATTGTGAGGATTGGAATCTGGTTGTAAATCTTGACAAATCCAAAGTTATGGTGTTTAGGAATGGTGGTGGTTTATGAGCAAACGAACAGTGGCGTTATAAAGGAAATTTAATAGAGTGTATAAACATTTACAAGTATCTTGGGGTAGTTTTCTCATCAAAGTTGTCTTTCCAAAAACACTTTGAACAAAAGCTAACGTCCTCAAAAAATGCAGTAAATTCGTTATGGTCAAAGGTTTTTACAGATAAATATATTTCAGTATTGTTAAAAATAGAGTGTTTTACTCCGTAGTAAGATCAATAATGTGTTATGCCACCCAAGTTTGGGGTTTTAAACTGTATAATGAAGTTGAACAACTTTTACGTTTTTCGTCAAAAAGGTTTCTTATTTACCCCAATGCACACCTAATTACATGATATACTTAGAAACAGACCAAGACCCAATTTTCATTCATACGTTGAAACTTCACTTTGACTATGTTTTGAAAGTATTAAATATGCCCGAATCACGTTTACCCAAATTGTTAGCTAATGAAGTTACAAGAAAACAGATATTTTGGTAGAGGGAATGGAAGAGTTTATCAGAAAGTTTATCAGTGCACTTATCAGTAGAACAAAATTATATTAGCAAGATATCAGTTGGGTCAGCTGTTGATTGCACCGTGATAAAAATCATCAACGTGTCCTTCAGACAGCCATGAATGCTCGCTATCATTCTATTTATAAATAACTTAGTTTGGATTTTAAAGATAATGGTTATATTTTTTCAAAGTTGGATTTTAATACAATTAAATGGATTTTCAACTGTAGAGGGGAATTATTATATTTAAATTATGAACCATGGATACAAAATCAAAATCAAAATCATAACTGTTCGTTATGCAATTTCGGAGAAGTAGAGGATGTTTACCACTTCGTTGCCACGTGCCCGATACTGCGTCATTTTAGAATTTTTTGGTTCGGTTTAGAGGAGTTGTCCTGAGATATTTTCATATCCTTGTTGAACGGGGCTGATTGGGTGCGGCTTACCCGATTCCTACAGCAAGCTTGGCGGTACAGGTGGGAAATTATATATACAAGAATTTAATTATTTATCTTTCTTCAAGCTCTGAGCACTCTATAGTTTTTAGAAATTGATTAGGCTACTTACAAATATATGTATAGATGTATAGAATTAAAGAAAAAAAACCTTAAAAAATTTTACTGAAATAATGGTAGATTAGAAAGGTAATTTTTAATGTATAGCCTACATAATGTACTTGTTTTATCTAGCAATTATAATGTGTTTGTTAACCTGGCTGACGGTCTTATAAGACCAAGTTGGAGAAATGAGAGCTTGCTGTGTGAATCATGGACCTGTCTATATTATGGAAATGTTTTTGTAAAACTTGTACTAAGAACATGTAAATAAAGCATTGTTTCATTCATTCATTCATTCATTCATTCATTAATATCGAGACAATATCTTATTCAAGAGTTTTTGCAAGGTTTGCGGTTTTATAAATTTTGTCTTAAGCACACCTCTAACAATATATCCTGAAGATCAATATGTTATTCAATGATAAAATGTTCTCAAGTTAAATAAAAGAAAATATAATTTTAACAGCCAAACATGCGTTTTATTATAGAACAAAACTAGTGTTTATTTATTATGATTGCTAAATGCTATGAGGTTCAAAGACGAGTTCCTCTTTAAAAATTTTTATAACTTGGTGATATACATAATTACTATTCTGTAGGTGTTTAAAACCCTTAAAATATACTCCCAATCTTTGAGTATATAAGTCCAAAACTGGAATTTAAAACATCAATAGTCAATAGTTGAATGCAGTTTACGTTTGTTACTCTAATCAATGGCTATTAGTATGTATAATCAACGGTAATACTATGAACCATGGAACTGAACGGGTTAAATTAGGTTTTAATAAGATGTTTGCATGTTGTATGTCGATTTATAATTATTATCAGATTTTTAGTGTTTTTTGACAGTGAAATAGGCTATATGTATAAATTTTCTTTTTCTTACTTTGAAATTGATATATAATCATCTGCAGGGATAGTAGAATAATTTGGGTAAAACATATATATTTTATGTTAGTAACTTCATTGACAACTAATTGATTTGTTGCTTCACGACATTATCATTTAGCTCTTAATTTTTTCTGCAAAATAGAACTGGTAAACACAGTTCAAAATGTTTTTGTTATTCTCAGGGCCACAGCTAGGGCAGGGCAGGAGGGGGTCGTTTGTATATTTAATGTGCAATCAATAAATTTAGTGTAAAGTAGTGTTAGTCTCTTTTGGGATTATTTTTGAGAAAAATATGCATGTTTGTAAAATTTAAATTAAGTGTATTTTACAGGAATAAGTAATAAACATAAAAAAATATCATGAATTCAAATAACATAAACTAGTGTTAAATAAATTTTCCCAAGGATTATTAAACCTAAAAATAGTCTGAACTTACTTTTTTATTTTCATTTTCACCTCCCTTTTAAAAAATAGCAAACTATTTAGAGGTTAGGCCTATTAGATTAGGCCTATATAAGTTGTGAACAGGGTAAAATATAAACAAACAGATAAACCATGAAAACCCTAGAGTAACTGAGACTAAAGCTGTGTCTGTAAGCCGTGGGAATTACGTTTTGGTATTGGCTTTTGAGAAGTGACCGAATAAACAGTAGCTGAATATAAGGAATCCTACAGTAACTTTACATTTGTCAAACTCTGCATGCTTCCAGTAAAAAGAAAAGTTTGTGGGTCTAATTATAACTCTCCCACAAACCTTTGATGACAAAAAAAATTCTTATTCTTCTGTATTCCCTAAACTGTATTTTACTGTGGTGCAGATGTTATGTTATGTGTAAATCAATGATCCCTATGATTGCTATCAACGTTAATTTACGATAAATTCTATTTTAAATCATCTAGTATTAAAGAAAGACTGCCTGTTCTATTAAACAAGTAGAAACAATATACAGGCATGGAATATTAAACAAAAACAAACAAAATTATTAGAAAGATCCATAAAGATAGAGCAGAGCTTTAATATTTTTAGTTATTTGTACAACTTATACTGAATGCAAATAGTTTAGAATATAATACAGTATTGAGGGTACCTGTATTGCAGGTGTTGGTAAAATGTGGAGTCGTCAATGTTGATAGGCACAGCTTCATTTGCCATGAGGCTAAGTTGTTCCAAATGAGGAAAGGCATCTTGTAGTCGCTGAACGAAGGGGAACAGACGATCGATGTGGTTATGGTTCAACCAGAGCACCTTGAGGTCGGGAACTGTTGGAAATGTGGTTGACGAGTTCACACGGTTGTGGTCCAAGATTAGACATTTCAAGTTGGGAAACTGGCTCAGGAACGACAGGTCACTGAAAAATAATATTGGGGTTAAACAAGTCAAGACTAAGGACAACCTTTTACTATGTTCAATACTAATAAGGGTTATTATATTCTTGGTGACGTTTATACAAATTGAATGTTATATTAACTCTAGTAACCGAATGATCTTGCTTTTTAGCTAGACAACCATTGGTTTTGAAGCTGAAAACTAAGATAGTGCAAATATTTCTTTGTCAATGAGGTTGTGAAAAGACATGAAACTGGACATCAAAAATTTGGCTACATGTTTTTGTGTCCGTGTTTCTGTTTATGTATATGTTTATAATAATTCTTTACAACCCCCCAGGGACAAGAAAAAAATGTATTACTGTAACTTGGTGTTCGGCTATAAAAACATTCAGGTTCAAAATCAACGATCGCCTACTGTAACAACCAGGATCACTTGATGGTAGGCTTAATACAGGTATTTTCAATTGGCCATTTGGCTCATTTGGTCAAACCTTTTTAATCACAACTTAATATCAGGACAACTTTTTGTACTGCAGTATCTTTCATATAACTTAAACTATTATGTTATATAAAACTAATAGAAGAAATATGATATTGATAGCTCACTTGGTTGAGGTTCATTTAATCATGATGATTTTCAGTAAACAGCTGACTAAATGGTCCTAGACTACTTCAGTATGCAAAGTCAATGAGATATGAAGTAAAACTTTGTAGTTAAAATTAACTCATAATGACATAAGGATCTATGCTTTATCAGTTTCATTGTGTGTAAAAACATTTGGATGGTTATTTTAGATACACTACAAATGTTGAGTTGAATATGGTGAAATATTTGGTAATATTTTATCAAGTTGGAATATATGTTCAAAATCCTTTTTACAGCTAATTGAATTTGTCAAATGCAATTTGGATGTTAAATTTTAATTAAAATAAGCTATCAACCTTAATTGTATATTATGTAATGTTTTGATGTATAAGAAATTTAATTGTATTACAAGATGATTATTATTTAATGTATATGGCGTGTTCAATTTTTTGAAAAAAAAGAGCAATGGAATAAATTATTCTTATTCTTATGTGTGTATCTGGACATAGCATTGGCTCTCCTAGATACATATTGACTTACTATTACTTTAGAGAATTTGTATCAAAGCTGAAATTAAACTAAAACTTACAAAATAAACTTAATTTCTAATCCAAAATTTACAAAGAACACATATAACAAATACAAAACCACGGTTGAGTGTCCCGTTGAGTAGTATTAATCGAATTCTAAGAATTAATTTTAACAAAACCCTCAATTAACAAAAAGAATTTTAAACTTTGATTTTGAAAAACTTACATCAGCTTACTTGAGCCCAAGGCTTAGAGCCTTGTGCTCAGCTCCTGTGTTCCAACCACTCTAAACAACCGTATCTTGTGAACTGTCATCAATTCAAAAAGCCCAGCTATTTAAAGCAAATATCTGCAGGGTCAATACAATCTTTTGTTTGATAACATAATCAGTGTACTTGGACAAGATCAATGAATAGTCAATGAATAGTGAGTGGATAGTTCATGAATAATCATTTAATCAGTCTTTAAACAATACAATATTGTAATTGACATTGTCATAATTATTGTAAAAAGATATAAGCTACAATAATTATATGATCACATTTAAAACTTATCAATTTTATAAAAAAGCCACAAAGTTAATTTTTTTAAAAAGACATTAAAGACAAGGACTTGACCTGAGGATGAAGCTTATCAAATCATTTAATACCTGAAACAAAATGACTGTTTGCAGTTTTCTGCAGCCTACAAGACCACTATTCCTTGTGTTATAACCATGAATATCTTGGTGCAAAACATACTCATTTTGATTTTTTTTACATTAATCAGACAATGCAGGATAGAAAAATTAATGACAGTTAATATGCCAGTGTCTACAAACAAAGGTTTACAATGTGCTCTACGGTGCAAGTTATTATTCTCACAGCCTTTTTTTTATTAATAATATATTATTACGTGGGAACTATTTCCCCCCAAAAAAATATAACTTAAAATTGAGTGAAAAAATGCATAATACACAGAATATAAATAATTCAGAGTCAAACTGCTAAGACATTTTAGAAGATTAATATACCTAGACAACTTAAAGCTAATGAAATCAATGTGTTGAGAACAGGTCAAACAATTGTCAATAACTATACCTAAAGTTTTGATGTCATTTGGTTCATTGATGTGTATAGTCAATGATTGTACTCCTCAACTCTATTTCTAGTCCGACAGACTAAGTGTTAAGTTACATTCTCATTAATAATCAAACCATTAGCACTAAATCGATGCTTGGCCTCTAAAATAGCAGTTTTTGCAATATTAGACAAGACATTTGCATCATTGCTTAAACTGAGAAAAGTTGTGTCATCTGCAAACATTGTAGTCCAAGCAAGGGATACATTGGCAGATAGGTCATTAATTGTGATAAAAGGAATAATACAAGCATATGGTTTAATTTGTCTTGATGTCTTAAACTGTAAAAATGATACTTAATGCTTTGCAAACAACGGTTTTTGTAGACAAACAGGTTTCGCTCAACCAACAAGTCCACAGCAAAATTTGAGGGATAATGACTTTTTTAACAACGGTTTGAAATTTATTTTGATTCAGGAAACATTTGATAAAAGTTTCATAAAATTTAAAATGTAAAGCGACCATGCCTGTATATGTAATATGTATTGTAATGGGTTGATCGAATACTGACAGATACAATGATCATAGCACAAGGGAATTTAAAAATCTTAGAAGGCAAAAAACATATTTGTTTACAATATAACCCCACTATTACAGTATATTCACAATTAACTGAGGTTGTTGGGACTACCTTGGTTACCCAGAATCTCAGATATCATGGAGGTCATCTCGATTTTGAGGTCAGGGGTTACGTGATCACATTAGACCGGGGCCACACTTGTAATTTTTAACTAACAAGATATTCAAAGTTTTCCGTTTTTAGTTTAGTTAGTTCGGTAGTGGAGGACCAGGGTTGAGATGAAGCCGATTAGATAAATGTTACAAACACTACCAGCTTTAATTTCCTCAAAAAATAATTCAAAATCCCGGACAAAACAATAAATGTAGTGCAAGTTTAATATGTCTAATAAAAATTGTTGTGACTACATCTTGAAGAAAAGATTAAAGATCTCCAAATTGTTGTTAGTATCCCCAACAATGTAAATAGTGTAATGTCGACTTCAGATGAAGTAAAAGTAGAATCAGGTAATGAGTCTAAAGTTGTGAGAGATTTATTAAACAAATTTCCAGAGGTATTTACCACTAAGCTAGGCTGTTACAATGGAGATCCTGTTAAGTTAAAGCTCAAATCAAATGTAGTACCTAAGTATTACAAACCAAGACCTATACCTTATTCTTTAAAAGACAAAGTAGAACAGGAATTACAATGTTTAGTTGACGATGGTATCATTTCCACTGTTTCAACTAGTGATTGGGGTACACCTATTGTTCCCGTACTAAAACGTAATGGCAAAATACGCATTTGCGGTGACTTCAAAGTTACCTTAAATCCATATCTAGAAGTAGATAGACATCCTATACCTCGCATTGAAGATCTTTTTGCAATCTTACAGAAAGGAAAACAATTTTCTAAAATAGATTTATCATCAGCCTATATGCAACTTAGCTTAGACGATGAAAGTAAGAAACTTTGTACCATAAGTACACACAAGGGGTTATTTGCATATAACCGACTTTGTTACGGAATATCTTCTGCTCCTGGTATTTTCCAACGAGTAATTGAGCAAACATTACAAGGTATCCCGGGTGTAGCTTCATTTCTTGATGATATTATTGTTACCGGAGCTGACACAGCTGAACACCTGTCGAGACTAAGAGAAGTGTGTAGTAGGCTAAAGTCAACAGGGTTAACTGTTAGTAAAGATAAATGTCAATTTTTCAGTGATAACTTAGAGTACTTAGGGTACGTAATTAGCCAAGAGGGCCTTGCCACATCCAAAGATAAAGTCAAAGCCATTGTAGAGACACCAGTTCCAAAAGATGTTACACAGCTAAAGGGTTTTCTGGGTCTAGTTAATTACTATGCAAAGTTTGTACCAAATGTTGCTACCATTCTAACACCCTTGTATCAATTATTAAGGAAAGACGTAGTTTTTAAATGGTCTTTGTCATGTCAAAAGGCGTTTGAAGCTATAAAAGAAAGATTAGTTTCAGCTAATGTGCTAGCGCACTACAACCCAGACTTGCCAATTAAATTGTCATGTGATGCGTCACCCTACGGCATCGCAGGAGTGTTAAGCATTGTTGACAAAAATGGAATAGAAAGACCAATTTCATTCACAAGTAGAGTACTAAACTCAGCAGAAAGGAACTATTCCCAAATAGACAAAGAGGCACTAAGCATTGTTTTCTGTGTAAATAAATTCAATCAGTATTTATGGGGCAGGAAGTTCACTCTTTGTACAGACCATAAACCACTATTAGCTATATTTGGTTCGAAAAAAGGGTTACCAGCATTTGCAGCTGGCAGACTACAACGCTATGCGTTATTTTTGTCAGGTTACGATTACGACATTAATTATGTTAAATCACAAAATCATGGTAACGCGGACGAATTGTCTAGACTTCCACTAAATTGTAATGACAGGGAAGAAAGTAATGTAAATATTGATTATTTAGGAACATATCTCCAATGTATATCAGAGTGCGATGTACCAATAGATTTTAATGATGTGCGTAAGGAAACTCAAAAAGACAGTGAGTTAAACAGAATCCTTGGATTTGTTTTGTACGGCTGGCCAATCAATTCGGACGTTAATCTAAGTGACTATGTCAAAAGGCAAGCTGAGCTAACAGTTGAACACGGAATCCTAATGTGGGGCTATAGAGTAGTCATTCCAAAATCATTAAGAGGGGCTTTATTAAAAGAATTACATAATGGACATCTAGGAGTTGTAAAAATGAAGTCGTTAGCCAGGTCGTATTTATGGTGGCCTTCTATTGATAAGGATATTGAGGCCGTGACTAACAGTTGCTCAGCGTGTCTTGTACAGCGGGAATCTCCTATTAAAAGTAAACTTCATGTATGGGAATTTCCTCCCAATGTTTGGCAAAGAATTCATGTCGATTTCCTTGGACCATTAAAAGGACAAATATATTTAATTGTACTAGACGCCCATAGTAAATGGATTGAGGTAGAACTTGTTAGTTCCACTTCAGCCAAACAGACCATTGACAAACTCAGGCCTATGTTTTGTAGATTTGGCTTACCAGAAATAATAGTTAGTGATAATGGTCCACCCTTTTGTTCTGAGGAATTTTCAAAATTTTTGAAACAGAATGGAATAAGACAAATCTTGACTCCACCTTACCATCCAGCTTCTAATGGCCAAGCTGAGAACGCGGTAAAATCAGTAAAGAAAAGATTAAAATGTGCAATCTTTGAAAATGAGGATGTAACTATAGCTTTAAGTAGATTTCTTATCTCTTATCGTAACACAGTCCATAGTACCACTTGTGAATCTCCCGCCAAACTTATGTTTAATCGACCATTAAGAACTAGGTTAGATTTAATCAGACCAAACATTCAGTCAACTGTTGCTCAAAAACAAGAGAAACAGATCATAAATGCAAGGGGTACTCATACTAGACAATTAGCTATAGGACAATGTGTACTAGCAAGAGACTATAGAGGGAAGGATAAGTGGGTTGAATGTACGGTTGTTAGACGACTAGGGCCAGTAACATACATTGTACAACTACAGACAGGCTTAACTTGGAAGCGACACATAGATCAGCTGGTAGGATTGCAATCAGGCAGCAACATCAACACGGAACATAGCAGATACGATCCCGTGACGTCAACATCAGCTGTTACTACTTCCTGTGTATTGTCAGCACCGGTGTCGTCACCAGCCAGGCAGCCCCACCAGCACACCCAGCCACAACAGCTGAGTTCTCCCACTACTACGCGTCACTCACCAACTACACGCCAGTCCGAGCGGCATAGTCCTATTGTTGCGAAGCGCCATTCTTTACAACCCGATCAGCTGACTGCTACGTCACCTGTTACAACTAATACTAGGCGATATCCACAACGGGATAGGAATCCTCCAAAGAAAATGGATTTGTAATTGTTTGTTATGGTTTTATATTTACGCTTGTTTGCAATTCTATGGTGTTTATTTTCAGCACTGATGTTTCAATATTTTTGTGTTTATTTTCAGCACTGATGTTTCAATATTTGTGTTTATTTTCAGCACTGATGTTTCAATATTTTTGTGTTTATTTTCAGCACCGATGTTTACAATCTTTAATGTTGTTTTTAACTCTGATGTTTTCAAATTGTGTTTTTATTTTCATTACTGATGTTTTCCATTTGTGTGTATAAATATTTCCATAAAGGTTTTATACAAGCTATGTTCCATAACTAGCTAAGCTTCCATAACTAGCAGTAAGGGCGGAGGAAATGTAGTGTATTAATTTAATTATAAAATGAATTGTATATTTCTAATTCAGATTCAAATAGTTACAAGTATTAAATTTGCTAGCTCGATCCATGTACCGTTAGATATCGTACGATGTGACGTCATATGGTCTGATCAAATAAACTAACCCCATTGGTTGTTTCCATCACACCACCTTCCGTTCCCACTGCTACCTCGATCACCCGACACTCTCTGTACAACAGTCATCGTCCTACCTCACCGGCTCCCGCACACCAATGCGGTTTTTCTTAACGTAACATGTGTTAATTATTTCGAGCACCTGATCCTCCTTCGCTCGCATCCAGGTTCGGATGCGACATCAGGGTTCCGAACAACTGGGAATATAACAAGAAAGAAACCACCAGGCCTTGTTAGAACTTCGAGAACACCCGAAAACATCGCCAGAGTGAGAGCAGCATTGATAAGAGCCCAAGCAGGTCTGTGCGAAAACATGCTCAAGAGCTGAACATTAACTGTGAATCGGTAAGGAGAATTATTCGGAAAGATCTTAAGTTTCATCCTTATAAAATACAGGTAGTGCACAAACTTAAAGTGACCGACTATAATAAACAAGTAAACTTTGCATCGTGAATGCAAAGATTGCTTAACAACGGCCGAACATGATATTGTTAATGAGTGACGAAGCCCACTTCCAGCTTAATGGCTCGGTAAACAAACAAAACTTCCGTTACTGGTCCAGTCAAAATCCCTGTAAGATTCATGAACAACCTCTACACTCTCCCTAGGTTACAGTTTGGTGTGCGATATCTCATTCCTGTGTTATTGGGCCGTATTTTTTGGAGGAAAATGGTGTAACAGTGACAGTGAACTCTCAACGCTATGTTCACATGTTGAACAAATTTCTATGTCAAGAACTTTGCAGACCCACACACTGCACACCAATCAATGAGAGTCGTGAGGCAAATATTTCCTAACAAGGTGATTTCTCACTTTGGTGACATACTGTGGCCGCCAAGGTCATCTGACTTGTCCAGCTGTGATTACTTCCTTTGGGGGTTTCTTAAGGAGCGTGTTTGTGCTCACAGCCCACGCACTCCAGAGGATTTGAAGTTGACAATCACAGAGGAGATCAATGGCATTGAACAAGACCTCCTGACCCGAGTTTCAGATGATTTTCAGACCAGAATGAACATTTGTAGAGAAGTACATGGCCGCCATATGCGTGACGTCATTTTCAAAAAATGACTGTTTGGTAACTCATGGCAAATGTTTACCTCACTATGTACAGTACTAAAACCATTTTATTCTTTTTAACTACTGTGTAATACTTATTAAAGGTTCCTTTGGGTCAACCTGTATATTATTTTGATATAAACAAGATCAACTATGTTTACGTTTGAGTCTTGAGTTGATAGTAAATGAAATTCTGAATTTAAGATTTAAATATTGTATTTTTATTAATATTTTCTAACTATAACAAAGTCAGTAACAAGACTACAAGATCCCGCCACTCATCTTATAGGTACTCATCTCCATTCATACTTGGCTTAAATTCCTACCTTCATATGGTTGTCATTTCAGTAAAAAGTATTAAAGTACCTATTAAGGTCCATTCACACCCAAGTCCAGTCACAGTTTAGTCTCAGTTGCATACAAAAATCCTCAGTCAACTGACGGTCAGTTGGTTTCTGACAGTTTTCTGTTACTGTATTTACAGTCATAAAATTTTCATCGTACATCTTGTTGATTGTTACAAACATGACTCAAAACATAAACTTGATCGTTTGGATAACAAAAAAGCTCATTTCTAACCTCAAATACATCTGTCAAGCGTCCCAGCAATCTAAAAATATCGGTGGGAAGAAATCTGAAATTGACTGACGGACGCCTTCAGAGCAACTTGGCGGAACTTGTGGCGCAACTGTGCCAGATGAGATATCGCTATAGAAAATCCATTAATTTTTTTTTTTTTACTGTGGCGTGACTGCTGTGTCTGACCAGTTACGTTTTGTAACTGATGTTAGTAAATCGACTTTTATTTTGTTAAAGTCATACTTGACAGTTATTTCAAATAGGCCTACTCATTTTAACAACTCACAAATTGCTTGATATTTTACTTTTCTTTGAACACTATAGTAATTACTGTTTTCCGACTGATAATAATAAATAAATATAGAGGCCTATAACGACCTTTACCTTGACGGCTAGGATAATCAGAGTGTACATGTCAAAATTCAAATCAAAAGATTCACGTATGCAAAATATGCAGGCTGACTGCAATGAAAAAGGGAAAATCTATTGTTCTTTGGCAGGCCACAAATAGGCCTACAGACCTAAATGACAACCTACTCTTTGTTAGATGTTAAGTTGTCAATTCAGAGTAAGCTGGATAAACTGTGTAATAAAATGCATATAGGCTATTGGTAAACTCTACACAAAATTTGGATTTAGATTTCTTAACAGCTGTATTGGTTCCATACTAAACATTACCAACCAATAGTAGTCCCCATGTCTGTTAACAATGTTTTAGTCAGCAATCAAATTGGTCATTTATTCATTGAAATGTTTTTAATGTTTAAACTGGGATTTTGAAAGCGTTATTTACTCACCTAAAGCAATTGTGGCTCAGATCCAATATTTTAATGGAGGATGTAAAACTGTTGAGAAGAACTGGAGGAATATGATCGAGGTTTTCAAACGTTAGATTCAACCGTTGGTCTTCTTCTGTCAACGCTTCTACGACGTTGTCACAATTTCCCTTATGGAAAGTCATTCGAGATCTGAAATAAAATGTTAATATGTTAATTGAAAATTTGTAGGTCTACTACCACAATACCTACGCCGTTGTATAGAGAGTTATTTTACATAAATTTCAAAAGCAAACTCTAGCCACATGTTAAAGAAACTGTTATTAGAACTGAATATATAAGTGGACAATTTAATTTAAAATTGAATGATAAAAAGCGAGTAAAATTTGTTGCTGTATCATTTGTTTGGATTTTCCATGACCTTCAAACAACATTCGACACCTGGCCATTCTCAGAACGAATTTAATCAGTTAACATTCAATGTAAAACTTAGGCTAGATTTACAGTATCTTACTATAACATCAACACAATATCATCACCACTACCAGATCTTTACATAGAAAAACTTCAAGGGGAATCCTCCAGGTATTGATATTTGGCCAACTTCTCTTTATTATCAACATAAATAGCCTTCCTTCAAAACTAGACAATAGCCTGAAATGTATACTTTTCACAGACGACACAACCATTTATTGTTCACACAGACTTTCAAGTATATAACCTCACCCTTATCATATCAAGCCTGTGAAAATATCAACCTAACAACCAATAAAAACAAGACATGAACCCTCATCTACCCGTGCTGCATCATAGTGTCCTGTACTGGCCAGTTATAAATATTCGTACAATGACCTTCCGTGTTTTCATGTTTTATATTCGTGTTTTTGTGTTTACCGACGACCTGAATTTGAGTGAAAAGACATTTTTTATCTGCCTGATGATGAGATTTCAGTCTCGAAACCGGTTGCCGTGGACGACTGTAGGATCACTTGACAGACAAGTAACAAACCATTTACTGTATAATTAAAAACAAGACAGTGACACATAACTTTCCAGATTAATAACAATAACTTCAGTAGGCCGACTGATGAATGAACCAGACTGGACATACCCATGGTTAACTCAACAAAAGTGATGACAAATAATAAATGGTGAACATTTATGCTGGCAGATTAATGTTGATCACTTGAGCAAGAAACTCCATCTTTGGTCATCCGTAGAATCCATCACACCACCAATCTGGACATAACAATGACAGGTTACCATTCCATCAAAACTGCAAACATATAGGCCTATGGTAAGCCTATCGCACCATGGGGCTTCACATCTGCCCAAAAACTGAGTTGCCTGACATGAATACTAGGTTGCTTTTAAGATTTAATTACCTAATAGGAAAAATCTGAACATTTACCTCTTGACCCACTGGAGCTTTTCAAACCATACTTCAACCGACTTAACATAATCACGATTATATCACTCTACATCATTGAAACTGTCTTCTACTCAGAAAAATAACCACCATTCCTCGGCCAAGAACCTCAACACCTCGTCATCAGACCATAACTTATTCCACTAATTTTACTTATCGAAGAAGTACCGTATGTATTTACACAAACACTCACACTTGCATGCGCCAGATCACTTTGGGAGAACATCATCAGTGATGACAATTCCCAATATAGACTATATGGACTATAGTGATAAAATCAAAGGTACCGGCAATAAATAATGATGTCTAGAATCACTTAGGGAGGAAACTAACGATGGAAAATTGAAATCTGGCAAAATATGCAGCACTATACAGTGGGCTGCTTAAAAAAACTAACTTAATTAAGAAGTACCACGGACATAATCTCAGCTTTAACAATATTTCTGGATTTATTTTTGATAAACTGGGAAAATAGGCTATTCTAGCCTATTTAACTAACTCGAGTCAATTAAAAACTATATTGATCGTAACTAGGCTAATATGAAGGCCTAGGCCTATTTCAAACATAGCTTGATCTATCCGGCAGGAGTCAAAAATAACTGAAAATAAGAGGAGACAATCCTTTTGATCAGTAAGTTATGGTAGAACAATCATATAGCCTAGGCTAGTCAAGGGAGCTGGATAAATCAAATGTCATTAAATGGCCTATTTTTAATTTTTTGCTGATTGAATAACAACACAGTCTAGGTATGGGCTTGTAACTTATTGACCTACCTTTCAGCTGAGGAAGTTAGTATAAAACCTGAACTCGGTTTGACCTAGAAGTCGTTTGGAATAAGCCCTAGGCTTGTCCTAGTTCTTCAATTCTCTAGCCAACTAATTTAGGGGTTTAAGGTCCCCTAAGTTACATGGTTCTTTTGGACTGACAAAAATGGGCAACTAAAATAAATTTTGTGAGCCAAAGATGGGTACTTTTACAAACTTACCTTATAAGCCAATGTATTTAATAACAAAAACAGAGACCTAGTCCAACAGCTATACTTATAGGCCTACTATGAAAAGTCAGATTTATGAAATGGAAATCACTTCACGGGCAATGTGAAGTAAGTTATATGACGGCTAGTGGCTAAAACGAAAAGCCTAAAACAATAGGAAAATAGGTTCTTCAGATCAAGAAAGATAAACAAAATTAATCAGGTAACCTCAAACCGCACTTTCACTTTTTAGTGTTTACATCAGTGTTGTCGGTTGTCGTTGTCTTTGTCATGCCAGCTGGTCATCGCAGAAAAAAAAGCAAGCTAAACCCCAAATCAACTTTGAGTTACAAAAAAAAAATACGCTTAAAGTTTATATTTGTTTTTATTGCTATGCAACACTATTATACATCATGGTGGAAGGAAAAAACATAGGTGTGCTATAATTCCCGTCATATGCGACGTCACCCAGATTGCAAACACCATTTCGTTATTAAGAAAAATATTTTAAACCAATAAAATAAAAACAAATATACTTGGTAATACGATCAGGTGATTTTGGTTTGCAATCTGGATGACGTCCGCATATGACGGGAATAGCACACCTATGTATTTTCCTTCCACCACCATGATTATACATGACATAAATTTGATTAAGGGGGTTTTGGTTAATTATAATAAACTAGCAACAGAGCCCGTTGTGGTTAAATACAACTGTCTCTGGGAAAATAACAGTTATGAAATCCATGTACCACTTAACTCACTAATTGACAAATGTACAGATATAACTTTTGAAACACACGCATAACATAAGGAACACAGTTAACAACAAATTCAAAATGTGAACAACAACATGCAAACAAAGAAAAATTAATGAAATAACAATACAACAATCCCCCAACAGCACAATGGGCTTGCTGGGAACTTGTTCCAAGTCCATTGGCCCAAGTCCCCAAGCCTGGTTTAGACTCAGGGACCAAAGTCTGTAGGCTTGGTTTTGACTTGTTTTAGAGACCGAAGTTGGCAGTTGTTCAACTTGTTATGGGTTTGGCTCCCCAAGTCCAACCCAAGTCCCAACCCCAAACCTACAGTGAACTCATGGGCACAAACCCACTCTAAGCTTGGAATGATGGATACAAAACGGGTCTGGTGGATTAAGCAGGCTCATTATGGACTTGTTCGGGACTTGGGGACCCAAGCCCAATTTTAGTAGGCTCATATTGGACTTGGCTTAGACTCATATTGGAATTGGTTTTAGCACATTTTAGACTTGGGCAAACAAGCTCACACTGATAAATTAAACAGGCTCATTATGGACTTGGAGACCCAAGCCCACTTTTAGTAGGCTCATATTGGACTTGGCCTAGACTCATATTGGAATTGGTTTTAGCACATTTTAGACTTGGGCAAACAAGCTCACACCTATAGACTCACTCAAAACTTGGTACGAAGTTTTATATACTTCAATTACTGTCATGATCAGAGATAATAATAATAATTATTATAATAGGCTATAGTAATATAATTTATACCTATTTAAGCTGTTTCACACCATTCATTTGCTAGCCCACATTTTTTTCTTATAATTTGTTTTTTACCAAGAAAGATTTATGATAAAATGAAGCCTATTTTATGAGTGATCTTGAAAACATATTGTTTATATATGAGGTTTAGAAAGCAAGACATTCACATTTCAAGACAATTTATTAATATAATAAATACAATGCCCACTATCTTCCACTTCACCTTCAACTTCTTTTCTGAACCCATCAACTCCACCGCCTGCTTCAGAAGATCTATAAAAAATACAATTGCATTAGAATTATTTGGTTTATTAAAATTTATTATTAAAATAATTTTTCATTATTTTTATTTGTTATAATTATTTGATTATTTGGAATTTGTTGGTGTTGCAAACACAGGGTGTTAACTTACCTTTGTTTTTAAAATTGTTATCGAACTTTTATTTCTTACTATTTTACTTTTATAATGATTACAGCGTGTGATGGAACTTACACATCAATACGGCTACTGAATACAAACAACGTAATAATGGTTTAGGTTAAACACAAATTTTGGTTCTGTTCTGTTGAGTTCAGCAGTAGACTAGAGTTAGAGTATAGTATAGTGAGTGACGTCGATTCAGTGAAGCGCTGAGTATGTCAAATGTTAAAGCACAAAAGATTTAGGCTATAAACAAAATTCTACGGGTTCTTGATGCTATGAAATTAATTGTTTGCTTAACGTAGCTTACTTATATCATCATAGACTAACCAACACAAGTATATTTTTTATCAATGGAGTTTAAATCTTACCTTTACAGGAATCCCTTAATTCTTCTTTGCTTCGTCTTGGTATCAAAACCATAAACAAAACTCACAACTAGTAACGAAACGAGTAACTCACAACACCAGAACTAGATAAGTGAGAACTGACAACTGAGAGTGAGGAAGTCTAAATCCAACAAAAATGGTGGTTCAGCACAAAGAAACAGGTTTTAGGAGCGTTCTGGGTAGGGGTGGAGGGAAAATTCTTTTGTCATATGGCACTGCTCACTTTAGACTCACATGAACAAGCTTGTCGTGGGTCTGGTTAGGTGTTTAAATTGTGGACTTGGCCAACCAGGTTATATATGTAAATAAAACAAGTTTAGTTTTGGCACATTCACACAAGTTCACTTAACCAAAGCTGTTTTAAATTTGTAGTGGGTTCCAAACTCCAAGTTTGTCATACCAATTCAGAAATATGTAAAAACCAAGTTTAGTCCAAGCTCACGTGCTGTCTGGGTCAGCTGTTAAATTATCAACACATGTTTCATTTTATGGTTTGATGATTCATACCTGCAAACCCATCACTGACATAAATCTTTAAGGGGATTGGATGACTTTAAGGGTAAAAATTTTAAACTGTTTGTTACATTTTCGTATTCTATGTATTTTCCTTTTTAAGTATATGTACAAATTATTAAGTTTTGATACAAAAATTGTTATTTTAGTGAAGCGGTGCAGAGTCGATTTCAGCGCTATATGCAAGGCCTAACCATCGATATATGGATGGGCCTGACTCCCCCATGTGACATTTCACTGCTTATAGTGCTTAGTTTCCAATGGTTCAATTATAATAGCTCTGTGTGGTTGGCTACACTGTCATTCTCGTTAGCAGAAAAATCAAACTTTCATAATTTATGCAAATCTACATCGATGAAGCTTTCCATTGACCTATTATTTAATAAAATCTGTCAAGTAGACCTGGTAGATTTCATTCTACAAAGTTAAACAAGAAGATCTCTAATTCAGTATTAATTAACAACTATAAATTCGGATATTGCTTAACCTTTCTCCAAATAACTTTTAAATGGTGAGGAAATCGACCAAATAAGTAGAAAGTAAATAAAGTTATATTCAGAAAGAGAATAAAACTCCCTACAAAATACCACGTATTTATTGAAAATACTAAATAAAGGCAGCCGAAATTTGCTATAAATTGAAAATGGAATAAATCCGTTTTTAATGTATTCTTGTTTTTTTGTTTTGTTTTTTTTTACTCCACCGCAAATGTTAAACAAGACTTTCATCATTCAAAATCTACACGATTAGGCTTTTTACAACCCATCAACTGACAAAATTTATCCAGTAGAACTGTAGATTTATTTGTAAAGTTAATCAAAACTATCTCTAACTCAGTATTTTCTCGCCTCTATAAATTAGGAGGTTGCTTAGCTTTTTTACAAATAACTTATAAACGGTGAGGAAATCTATCAAAGTGGAACTTGATATTCTGAAAGTGAATACAATTTCATACAGGTTACTAATATGCATTTCTTGAAAATACCTAATTAAGGCAGCCAAAAATTGGCTATAATTTGAAACTTGAATAGGCACTTTTTAAAAGTATTTATGTCATTTTTACTTTTTCACCACAAATATTTAATAAAATCACACTATTATAGTTATTTGCAAATCTGCATGCGTTAGGCTTTCCAATTACCCATTTTCCTTGCTACACCTACAGTTTATCCGTTTAAATCACAACAAAACGTAGTTTTGTAGATTTTAAACTCATAACATGCTTTGGAAGTAGAAAAGGGTATTTCACTTGTGAAACAACGCTTTAAAAAATTGTATTTTGTAATACATAAGTATTTCTCTATTCCCTGAGATTCTTTATAGCTCATTAAACTAATTAGTGCGATAGATCTTGCATGGAACGCAAAACATTACATTCAACCAAGATCTACAGAAGCCGATTATAAACAATAAAAAAAAGAGTAGCATATATAGAAGAATAGATCTATAATAAATAACTGTAATAAAAGCTACAGGGACAAAGGTGTTAAATAAAATATAAAAATGGACTTGTTTCTGTGCAAAATTAAATAATAAATGAACAATTAATCAATAATTAATATGTGCCTTATCTAAGTAACGAGTAATAATCTAATTATAATCTAGCAAATTATATACCGGTACCTTATTTATGAATTTTCTATTCAAAATTCAAAACAACTCATGTTAACACTTATACAATATATACAATATTAATTATAAGAACAAGCGTCGTCCATAAGAAATATTGTTTTTATTTGTAAGAGAAATTTTGTTGACGCTATTATGCAGTTTGTAACGACTGTCAAAAATAAAGATGTTTGAGTTTGAGTTTGAGTCCTAAAATAAGTCTTTAGGGATGGTTGTCGAGGACAAAACTTCAGATCGGTAAGTTGACAAGTTATCTTAGCAAAACAATTCAACAAATACAATCCATTCACATAATTCTATTTGAAAATAATCAAAAAATAAAAATGCATAATGGCATTAAAAAACTTTATTTAAATATTTACTATTTATCGTCAACACCTAAATAAAATAATCAGTGCCTGATTTGACAGTTACTGCCCGACAGCTACGTTACAGTAGCGATCATCTTAAGACTCTTGTGGAATATCCATCAAGACGATGACCTCATAAAATTATCCGGTTTCTCCAGAATTGTAACGATCACGTCAAGTCGTGTTCGATGGACGGTTATCGCCGATGTACTTTAACCTTCCCCTACCCCGCATGCCTCGTCGTTGACGTCAAGTTGTGATCGACTGAAAGTAGTCGATTAACCAAACTATCGAATGATTTAACTACCGAAAAATATTAGTCTACTTCGAGACGTTTATTTAATGTTACTTGTGCTTCACTAAAAACAATTTATTGTGTTATTTGTTTTTCAATGCCACACACTTGTGGTTTAAGTAGTCGATGATTTTGCTTTTCACATGTTGTAGTTCAACTGATCCAGGGACGAAATTCTTGAATAGTTAGGGGATTTTTCGTATGCAAAATTTTGTTATATCATTGTGCAACGTGTGAATACCGTATCCAAATGTGTTTTTTATACAGTACGACATCTATACATATCAGGTTTGTTTGTCATCTAATTTTTATTTTCCCTATATATATAAATCTTATAGTAGCTGACTAGCTGAGAGGTTATAGGGCTTGCTTGACAATGGTTGTAGGTTTGATGGTTTTTGATCCTGAGGAAAATCGGTAGCATTTGATATTCGATGGAAACAGCTGATCGGTCGACCTTTCTTAATAATTAGCTAAAGAAACAGCTGATACTAGCAAGTAAAAAGTTACACTTCATTCTACACTCACATTGTAAAATTCAATACTTTGTATCTATATATAAATCCCAAAGTACCCATGAACTTTTGAGAAAACTACAAGCCACAAACCATATACTTAAAATGTTCCATGACGAAAAACCTTGCGCAAAACTAACCATTATTTCATAAATCGCCCTTTAAGGTTGTAATTCCTTTCTAAAGGGAACACTCCATGTACGTAATGTTAAAAATACTTCAGCTGTACTTATTTGTTTATTATTCTTTTAATTTATTTCCGTATTGAAACCAGGTAGTTATAATTATTTGTTTGCATTACTGTATTCTGTTTTGTTTATTTCATCCTAACTAAATCAATCAATAGTTTAATTAATACTTATGAAGTCAAACGGGATGAATCCCGTGATGGGTAACAGCTAGTTTTATTATCACCGACTTCCATTCTCACGAATAACATATACCTAGACAGTCCAAAGAAAAATAAAATACAGCTATGGTTAAAATATGAGCTATTGGTAGGCCTGTGTACGAACAATTCTCTCTGGGTGAGTAACAATAAATAAACAAATACATTTCAGGATTTAGCATCCAACTCAACGTTAACTAATCTAACAAATAACAACAGTTTTAGGTTAATTAGTTGATCTTTGACGGTCAAATAATCGACTAATTAATTAGACATGCGATTAGTCGATAACACACAGGACTAATTTGACTCGATTATTCGATAGTAACAAGTAACCGATTACGCAAATTGTCCATCAAGAGAAGTTCTTGCACCAGTAGGTTCAAACCTAGCTGTAACAGTAAGTTCAAGTTGTCGTCAGTGCAATGGTTTGTGTGTTCGCATGTTTGTTTGTTATTTTATCACTCTACCATCAAATAAATCCTACTTTGGCCAAACTATGCAAGAATTGTGGACGCATAGAAAAGGTATTTATGTTTAATGCTTGTAGACCACCTCTTTAAGTTAGGTTATTTTGTTTCTAGTTTCATGTTTTATTTTCATTTTAATACGTGTAACTAACACCGTAAAGAGAATTGATTCCTAATTGGCCATCCCCTATTAATCTATTACATGGAATTTTATGAACAAAAATTATGTATTTATTTTTTTATGAATGAATAACCCATAAAGCCAATCCTAAAATGGAGTAAAAATCAATTGATGTATATGTATTAAAATTTTCAAATACAAAATTTTTTTTATGCAAACGCAGAAATTGTCTTCCTCATTAACAATTAAGGAACTATGTATAATATACAATGTAATCTACATTGGAGATGATAAGGTCCTAATAAGTTAGTTATTGAGTCCCTATTTTCCTATGACAAATGTGCATTGCTGTTGGATTTTTAAATCTTTGTGATTATGAGAGCCGAATTATTATACTAACACCGTCAACCATATTCTAAATCCCCTTCTAATGCCTAGTACTGTAGCAGACATTTTTATCGTTGTGTTTTAACAAATATTTAAACATAAAGAAATGAAGAAGCAGCAACAAGATTAAAATATATTTTTTTTAATTTTGTATACAGTACATGCGTAAATAGAATGGCGACAATAACAATTTGGCAACTGAAGTTGTAAACCTTAATTTAGGGTGTATACGCTAAGTTGTAGGCCTAATCAAATGTGGTATTAATTTTAACGGTTGAAAATCGTTCTCTAATATTTTTTATGTACTATAAAAGTATACAAAATTAAATAGTAATACAAGGGTATACAATTATTACGCAACATTGAATGTGTGTTTATTTGTGTGTGTGTCTGTCTGTCAGCTTGTCTGTGTCATCGCCATGCTAAATATACTTTACTAAAAACTGCCCTAGAATAATCGGTATGCCCTAGGTAATCATTAATGTTTACATAGTATGTTACATGATATTACATTTATTCAAACCTTGGAGGTTGGATCATCAGACGACGAGTTTCACGTATAAATACGTTGGTGTTTCTGTTTATCGTAATGCAAGTAGACACAAGATATTCCAGCTCTTATCTTGCGGATCCAAAGTTCTGAAGGAATGGAAGTTCTATGTTCAACCGTATTGGAGAAACAACAGATTCACACTATTCTTTGTATTTTACTAATATTCAGTGTTTTAATCATATAAGAAATTTGTTATGACAATAACAGTTGTAAAAATTAAGTATTTTAGATCGTCTCTTACTCTTGCTGTTTTAGTTTATTTTACATTTTTTATGTTATGTGTAATAATATATAACCACTAACTGTATGCCTACTAACTAATATGCATTATAGTTTAGTATCGGTAACATTAAAATTATTTATTAAACTGGCTTCAATTACTTGGGCTTTTGTGTAGGCGTAGTTCACTGATTTTTCCTTTCTCCCCCTATACATAGTAATGAAGAAAATATTGTTTTCGTAAAAACTTTTGATTTTGAGTGGATATAAATATATATCCGTTTGGGCCCCCCTGAATCCAAAAAAGTTGTTTTCAAAGTGATGCCTGTGTGCGTGTGTGTGTTGATGTGTACAGAGCTACAGACCACACCTGTAGTCCGATTTTAATGAAATTTGGTATGTAGGCACTAATCCATGGTACTGTATCTCCAAGAGTTTTTTTTTCATTTTTTGAAATTTTGATTTTTAAAATGGCAATTTTTTCATAAAACCCATAAAATAACAAAAAATCTGATCTTATGTTCCTTTAAATTCGGAACAAAATGGCACAGATTCCATTTACGTAAAAATTACCTTCAAAAGTTATTGTAACCTATGTTATTTTCCCATCTTAAAAAATCATAAAATAACGGAAAATCGGATTTTTGAGAAAAAGACAATTTTGATTAAAGTTTAGTGTGTTATGGTCCTTATGATTTTAAACAAAATAATGCAACTCCCATTGCTGTAAAAAAACGGTTCAAAGGTCATTGCGACCTGGGTGATTTCCCATATAAAATATGATAGTTTACTCCCACCGCTTACCCATGATAAAAGTTGTTGATACGCTAATGGGAGAAAGTATTTGTCAGATTGCTGATACCGTTTATTAAATTAAGAAACATAACCTCTTTAAAATTTAGCATTAATAACACCATTATAACTTTAGTTTCTGCCTTACCGTAAATTGTAGGAAGATTGTAAGAGGCGTAACGGTCGCTATCTCTAGTATGAGCTCATTGTTAACACCGAACATGGGGAGATTGCCCATGTGATAATTTGTATATACAGAGTGTCCCACAAAGGGGTTTAAACGTTTGATTTAAAATTACTTGCCCATTTATTTATGCTCCGAACATTTTGAAACTTTACACAATTTATAAAGTAGGTTTAAAAAATGTCCTGGGAAAATTTCAGCTCCCTAACCCTCGTAAAAACAAAATGGCGGTATATTGAAAAAATGATACTTTAAACAAATTAAAATAGGGTTTTTGGTTTTGTAAAATATTGGTATTATCACATCCTAGGGAAATAATACTTTTTAATCAGGAAATTAGAACATAGCCTAATGAAAAACCTAAAAGTAGAGTCCAAAATTATTCAAACCGTGACCCATCACTAGTTAATAATTAATAATAAATTAATTAATTTAATATGATTAGTTAATCAAAAACATTCAATATGCCACCGTTTTGTTTCTACGAGGATTAGAGAGCTGAAAATTTCCCAGAATAGTTTTAAAAAATATTTAATAAATTATGCAAAGTTTCAAAAACATCGGTCAATTAATGGGCAAGAAATATAAAGTCAAACGTTTAAACCTCTTCGTGGGACACCCTATATTAACACCCTTATATTATATACGTATGTATTGCTTCATTATTATTATTTATTAAAATAAAGATTGATTTTATTTAATTTGAGATTGATTTTATTTAATTTGAGATTGTTTTATGTGGGAATTGATTATGAAACTTGATTGAAAGCAGAAGTTTTGTGTGATTTAAGGAATGCAAGAATTATTTTTCGTCATACTACAGCAAAACAGCCGTTTTTAATGCATGCGTTGAGGATCTAAAGTAACTTTTTTCCATTTTTAACCCCTAGTAAAAATCAGCTGTTGTTAACTCAGTTGTTAATTTCGATCATAAAAAATTGCATGTAACGATTGTTTGATCGATCGTAGTTAATTAATAATAGTAGTAGTAGTAGTTAATTGCCTTATTGTAAATAGTTCTACATGTCAATAGTATAATGTACACTAACACAATCGTAAGAGACGAAACTATTGAATCACTTACTAAACAAACAGCTGCTTGTTTCCTTTAGCAAATTAAATTGAAAACAAGCTAGAAGTAGTTTTGAGAGGTTATCTTTAAATGAAAACTATTTCAGTTTTGTAGCATAGTTTGTTCAAAAGGTGTAATATGAATAAAATATTTGTTCATCACACGGTCAAAAAGTGTTTTTCAACACTCGCACATTTCCCGACATCGGCTTCTAAAAAAATAACATAGGAATATTAAATTGTTTGCATTTTATTCGTAACCAATAACCGTACAATGACACTTCAATATACTAATTTATTTGTTTTAAGCTATTCAAAATAGAGAAATTAGGAAAGTTTTCAGGGAAAGAAATTAGAAACCCCCATTTTCACCCCATAACACCATGTTCCCATGTCCGATCACGCTGGTTCGTGAACTCTCTCACGTTTATCCCGCCATACACCTTTAAGCTGAATTTAATCAAAATCGGACCAAAATCACCCAAGCTACATTCACGAAGACAAATCCCCGTGAAATAAAATACCTCAAAGATAACACACATATTTAACAATTTGAACGAATTGTGATTTTGGCCTGTGGGTAAATCAAAATGAAAAAGTATATCGGTCTCGGGTCTGGAAATTGCCGTGTCACCTATGGTAAATTAGTTACTTCCCTATAGGGAAATTCGCTAATAGAATTTTAGACACTATAATAATACACCCTGTGAAAAGCTCATTCAAAACTGATTTCAAACGTAAAAGATTGGCGACACCAGGGGACCCATTTCATAATAAACTACAAGCTACAAGTTACAACTTGTAGCTTGTAGTTTATATCAGATTTGCATTGGGCGATCAGCTGATTTACTAACAATTATTAGTTTGTACTTTAATTATGGAAAGGGTTCGATTTTCTTACTGGAGTATCCAAAAGTCAATGTTATTAGTTATAAATATTTTCAATAAACTTTTCTTCACTTCACCGTAAAAATACTACTTACTTTTTCGTTATGGGGACCGTGATCTGTAGCACAAGTTTAAATAGTACAGCAGAACCCTGCATTACAGCCAAAAATAATCTTTTTTAGTAAAGTAATTACATTATAAGATACTGTATTATCATTTGCAATGTGCTTTAATCTTAGTATGGCAATAGTAATAGCACACAATCTTACCGCATTTATTGCTAAACTGAAATCTACAAGGGGTTTACAGTTCACTATTACATTGATGAATTAAGTTTATTTTGGAGCAAAGCGTAAAAAAGTGAAAAAAGTGTAAATAAACGGTATCAGCATTCTGACACATACGTTCTCCCATAAGTTTGTCAACAACCTTTATCATGTGTAAGCGGTGGTGAGAGTAAATATACGGAAATGGGATTAGTAGGCCTACAATTTAGTTCAGAATTTAAAGAACTACATACTAAATTTTTATCAAAATCGTTCGGGCCATTTTCGAGAAAATCCGATTTTTCCGGTTTTTTATGGGTTTTATGGGAAAATCCCCATTACAAATCAAAATTTCAAAAAAATGAAAAAAAAACGCCTGGAGATACCATGGATTAGAACCTACATACAAAATTTCATCGAAATCGGACCACAAGACGTGTATTCCCTAGCTCTGTACACATCCAGACACACACACACAGACATCACTTCGAAAACCACTTTTTTGTGTCCAGGGGGGCCCAAAACGAATATATCCACTCTAAACTCAAACTCGAAAATTTTGACGAAAACAATACT